GCAAATTTCTTTTTTTTTTTTTTTTTTTTTTTTTTTTTTTTTTTGATAGGAAGGTATATAGTTTAAGGCACATGCACAGAATAACTGCAGAAGTGAAAATGGGAATAGCTTCTCATCCTTTTGGCTAAGATCAAGTGTAGAAGTGAAAAAGGGACTCTTGGGAATCTTATCAACTTGAGGTAGATCACTTTCTCAAAGGGAAAATTAAAAATGGCATTAAGACAGTAGTTCTTTGTACCATTTCTTTCACTTATTTTTAGTCCTAGTATTTAACTTACTTTGATTTCTAAATAGTATAGCTATAGAAAATGAGATTTTATGTTCACTTTTGGAAGTGGATTTTAAAGGACTGAAAAATACTATTCTAGGACTGAAGCTTTCTAGGGAAAATTTGTTTTCTTTTTCTAAGATTTTTAATTTATGAAAAGGTGAAAATGCTAAGCAAAATAGTTCTAAGCTAAGCGGAAGCATGTTTAAGACCCTAGACTTAAAACCAGAGTGTTTAAGGGGCATTTTATGGTAGAACTTCTCAGCATATATTTTTGAAATAGTAATCTAGCTCAGTTGTTCTCGGCCAGGGACATTTCTCGCCTCCAGTCCTACCTTGCTGCAGGCATGTGGCAACATCTGTGGACATTTTTATTTGCCACTGTTCAGTCCTGCTGGCATCGAATGGGTAGAATTCAGGAATATTTCTAAACATTGTACAATGTGCAAGATAGGCCCCTACCACAAAGAATTATACTACCTAAAATGTCAGTAGCACTACTGTTAAGAAACCTTGCTCTAGTCAAACCTCAGCAACAAGACATAACTTCCTGTAGTCCTAGGCGGTGGCCGTTTGGAAACTGGGGAAGAGTAAATATTCTAGTGTCAGTGTCCACATATAGGTGCCTGTTGGGACCTATGAGATACCTACTCTGTTGTAGGCTTCCCCATGGTAAGGGCAGGGTTTTTCAGTGTGGATTTGGCCTCATGTTTAAGTAAATAGAAGAATGAATATCCACATTTTCTTCTAGGAAATTGTTTACTACAGCGGGCAGCTGGAGCAGGAAATGAGGCAGCGGCTCTTTTCCTGGCAACCAATGGTGCCCACGTCAACCACAAAAACAAGTGGGTAAGTGTAACAGGGCAGTTCTGGGAAATGCATTGTTCTATAGAAGAAATGGCAATGATGGATATGTAGGAAGAATGGAATTTATTCTTTTTCTTTCTTTTTTTAACAATTTCTGTGAACATGATGCATACATATGTTTAAAAACTAGAGTAAAGCCAAGAATGGTGGCACATGTCTGTAATCCCAGCACTAGAGTGGCTGAGGCAGGAGGTTTACCTCGAGTTCAAAGCTATCTTGAACTGCATAGTAAGACTCTGTCTCCAAAACAAAACAAAACAACCTAGAATAACATAGATTCTATAAATTGTTTTATGTATTCTCAGATATAATTGATTCAGCAACCATTTTAGAAGTAATAGTTGTATATATCAAGACCTGAACTAGAGACTCTGGGCTTTATAATCTAATATGAATTAGCAGACATACACAGAAATCTACCATAATAGCATCTTGGTCTTTGGTTTTCCTATGTGGTTTCCCACTCAGTCCATATATATCCCAAGCTAGCAAGGTAGATTGTACAGTGAGGATGCCCCCCCTTATTTGATTTCACTTTCAGCAGTTTGAATTACTAATAGAAAACTATGGTCTGAAAATGTTAAATGGAAAATTCCAGAAATAATTCATAAGTTTCAAATTACATGCCATTCTGAGAGCATGATGAAATCTCTTGCTGTTCTGACCAGGATGTGAATCATCCCTTTCTCCAGAGAATCCATGCTGTATACACTATCTGCCAGTTGGTCTCTTAGTTGTTTCAGTTATCAGATGTCAGATGTATAGTACCCACGTTCAGCTAACTTTCATGTGATAACCTAACCCAATACACAATGCCTGTGTCATTCATCTCACTTCATCTCTTCACATAGGCATTGTATCATTTCACATATCCCAAGAAGCATGAAAACAGAAAAGATTTTTTGAGAGGCTGCATTCATATAACTTTATATAGTATATTGTTGTAATTATTCTTTTATTGTTATTTAATCCCCTCTGTGCCTAATTTATAAATTAAACTTTGTCATATGTATGTGCATGTTGGAAAAAGCATGGTATGTATAGGGTTTGGTCCATCATTTCATTCAACCTTGGGGGTGAGGGGGTTGTCTTAGAACACATTAAGATCACATTTATTTTGTAACTACTTTGTATTCAGAACTTTAATTTTAGAAGCAACATGTATTGTTGTATCATTAGGATTCGGAGTGAAGAGATGTTTCTCACATTTATATTTCCTTAATTCAAGGTAAAGAGTCAGAGGGGTTAAGAGGCTCATAAATAATGAAGCCAGTATTGAGACTCAGATACTAGGATATATACTTGCATAGTCTCTCAGCAGCATTGGGTAAGGCAGTGAATAATACACTTGGTATCTAAGACATACCAGATATCTTGAAAACACAGGGGGAAAGTCCTTGCAGTCCTTTCCTTCATTAAACATACTAATCTACACAAATGGCCTAGACTCACGCTGGAATCATGAAATATTCCTATACTCATTAGAGGCTGTGTTTGTTTGTTTGTTTTTCTAGAGGTGGAACCGAGGGCCTTAGGCAGGTTCTCTTATACTACTGAGCAAAACCCATCTTCTGATTTTCTTTCTTTTTCAGTGCTAGGAATTGAATCCAGCACCTTGCACTGAGCTACATTCTTAGCCCCTTTATTTTTATTATGAGACAGGGTCTTACTAAATTGCCTGATCTGGTCTTAAAATTTAAGTTTCTCCAACCTTAGCCTCTTGAGTAGCTAGAATTAAAGGCATGTACCATTGTGCCTTACCCTCCCACCCTTTTTGGGCTCTGCCTTTTATCCCCCCCTTACTTTTTCACAGACTTTGTTTCTTCTATTGTGTGTCTGTCTTTATCTTTCTTGCATCATTAATTTTGCTTACTCTTCATTTCTAATAGTACAAAGTCATGTTCTATCTCCTAACTTTAAAAAAGCCTCCTGGAGTCCACATGTGTATATGCTCTTTTGATCCTTTGCTGATACCCTTCATAGCAAAACTAGATGAAACATAAGATGTAGAGGCACTGGGAACAGCTGACATGGAAGCAAGTGAGAGCCTCATGGAGAAAGGCCTACAATGCTGGTTTAAGATGTTTGGGCTTCATCCTGTGGGAGAACATCCCATAGAAGAGCTGTGTGATCATTTTAGAGGTGTATGGGAGAGATGCCTGGGGAGGCTGGCATGGTGAGTGTGCCATTGAGTCCAGTTTGGAGCCATGTGAAAAGCGATGACCTGTCTTCACCTCTCTTGCTGGATTTAGAGGCAAATCAACAGATTTTGAGGAATTATAGAATTACATTCAGTGGACATAATCAGCATACAGTTTGTAGGAGCGAGAGCAAGAGAGGTATTACAACTGTTTTGGTGGGGCCTGGCCAAGAGGAAAAACTGGAGCAGAGAAAGTAAATCCCATTGCAATTGTCAAATTCTTTCTAAACATTCAGTGAGGATGTCTAGCTGACAGACATGGATTTGTAGATGCTGGTAGAAGCCATGGGAGTCAATAAGCATTCTCAGTGAGATATGTAGGAACAAAGAAGGGCTGGGCAAGGGAAAGAATAGTAAGATGTTGCTCTTTTTGACAAAAAAAAATATAGAATTGTTTCCATGATGATAATTTATACGAGAAACATCCAGAGCAGTATGTTCAGTTTGTTTCCATTTGTTTAAATGAAAAAAATTATCATATCTATGGTTGCATACACACATAAACATGGAGACATGTATACATGCATATGCACGTGCATGTGGGTGTGTGCGTGTTTTCCTGCAAATATTCTGTTAGTGAAGAGAAATGTAAAATTTTAATCCTGGGCAGGCATGGTGGTACACACCTGTAATCCTAGCACTTGAGAGGGAGAGGCAGAGGCAGGAGGATTGCCATGAGTTGTAGGCCAGCCTGGACTACATAGTGTGTTCAAGACCAGTCTGAACTACATAAGGAGACCCTGTCTCAAAAAAAATTGGTAATCCTAGGGCCAGGAATTTAGATCAATGGTTCTGCCACCTGCCTTGCAAGTGTAAGGACCTAAGTACCAAAAGAAAAAGAAAAGTAAAAAAATTGGTAATCCTGGCTCCTTTAAGGCACTGTTATTTTGGGGTGCTGGGGGCCAGACATAACAGACTTGCTTCCACTGTATATTCTTCTGCCTTTTAAATATTGACTCAGGAACCTGTAATACCAATTAAAATGTTTTTTAAGTTTTAGAAGTGGGGGCAAGTGGTCTTTATTAAAGTTCAAAGTGTGGTTGATATGAGCAGGTGAAAGAAGTGGGATGTAGTGTTCAGTGACCATTCTGAGTCTGTGCTGGGTGCAGCCTTGGCAGTTGATCAAGTAAAGCTTTTAAAAGGTTCAAGTCCTGCATCTGCTCATGATCATCATTAACCCCCTCACTTGAGTACATATAAAATGAAACATCAGTCTGCCTGTAAATTTCAGCAAGCTGTGTTAGATGGTTTGGAACACAGAATACCACTGTACACTTATATAAGCATCACTGTGTAGCATTAATAAATGTATCTGGAGATGTACTACTGCAAGGAAGGGAGGGAGGAAAGGAAAGAAGGAAAAGAAGAAAGCAGGAAGGGAAAGGGAAGGAAGGAAGGGAAAGCTGGGTGTGGTGATGCACATCTGTAATCCCAGCACTCAGGAGGTTGAGGCAGGAAGATTGCCACAAGGTCAAGGCCAACCTGAACCACAGCAAGACTCCATCTCAAAAAAGTATTTTAAAAAAAAAAAGAGGGAGAATCAGAGAAGTGGTGGTCAAACTATTAACACTACTTATCTCTGGGGATGTGACTGAAGATTTTCTGTTTTTCTACAGTGGTAGTTGTCACTTTATAATAATCAGCATATATATATATATATATATATATTTGAGTGTGTATGTATATGTATATGTATGTATCACTTTTTTTGGGGGGGTACCAGGGATCAAACTCAAACTCAGGACCTTGCACTTGCAAGGTAAGCACAGCACCGCTCAGCTAAATCCCCAGCCCTGCATATTTTATTTTTATAATTAGAAAAAGTAAAAGTAATAATAATTAGAAAAAAGTAATTATGAAAGTAAAGTGAAAGATAGTTAAGGAAACCATAGGAGATGGAGAAGATAAGAAGCCAGGGCATTTTTGAAGGTACTTGGAAAGACACTGAAAAACTAAGGGTAAGGTTACAAGTAAAGGTAATCAAAGTTATGGAAGTGAGCCAGGTGGAGTGGTGCACAACTATAATGCCAGCACTCTGGGAGGCTGAGGCAGGAGAATCACAAGTTGAGCCCATCCTGGACTACTTAAGCAACATAATAAAACCCTGTCTCAAAATTTTAAAAATGAAAAAGGGATGTAATTCAATGCAAAGGTCCTGGGTTTAGTCCCTAATACACCACACACACCATGGAAATAGTGACAGGATGAGCCAGTGGCTGACAGGCATGAGCCAAATCATAATGGTGACAGGATAAGCTGAGGACTATGACTGGCACTGGGGACCTGACTTTTGGTGCTTATGCTGTCTTTATCTCTTTGCAAAGGGAACTTCTAGTTTGTAGACGCTTAAATTTGGGCCATCTGTTTGCATTCAGGGAGAGACTCCATTGCACACGGCTTGTCGGCATGGCCTGGCCAATCTCACAGCAGAGCTCCTGCAGCAGGGTGCCAACCCAAACCTGCAGACGGAGGAGGCTATGCCTTTGTCAAAGTCAGCTGTGTCCCTGACCAACTCCATGGACAATGTCTATCTGCAGACGCCACTGCACATGGCAATTGCCTACAGTCATCCAGATGTGGTGTCCATCATTCTTGAGCAAAAAGGTAAGTAATGGGAAATTTTGCCCAACAGTTGGACTTATGGGTAGCAGCTTAGGGTACTTAATTACTGAGTTGCTGTGTCCTCTGTTGGTAAGTTTCTTACCAAAAGCATTCTTTCAGGTCAAACTAGATAAGCAGATGGCTTTTGACTGCCATGTTTTCCTATGGACGCATAGAGGATGGGACCTGCTCATTTCACCTGTCAGGTTAAGTTTTCAGAACCTGTGACTGCTTTTGTTTTTGGAAGGAATTCTGAACTTTTTACTTGACATCAAAGTTACTATTACTTTGATACCAAAACCATGCAAAGATATAACAAAACACAAAATAGAGATCCATACCCCTTATGAACACAGAGGTAAAAACTGTAAATATAACTAAACTGAATTCAGCAGCACCTAAAAGAGATCAGAAACTGACAAAGTGGGATTCATCCCAGAGGTTTCAGCATATGCAAATCAGCAAACATGATACAACACATATAGATGCAGCTAAATTACCTGGTTAAGAGTAAACATCCCTTCATGATAAAAACTCAACATATTAGGTGTAGAAGAAACATACCACAAATAATACAGGTTATATTTGAAAAACCCACAGATAGTATAGGGAATATACTATACTATTCTATATACTATAGGGAAAAGCTGAAATTGTTTCCTAAACGTAGGAAAGTAACCAAGGATATCCTGTTTCACCACTTTCATTTTTTAATAGTACTAGAAGTCTTAGAGCAGTGCGGTAAGAGAAAGAATTTCCAGGCATCCGGATTAGAAAGAAATAAGTTAAATTATCCACGTTCACAGAGACTCTGTTCTGTCTTGTTCATGGTATTTTTCAGGCCATTTTAGTGCAGTTTTGTTTTAGCAGTTTTGCCTTGGTGTGAGAACTATTTTTGAGAAACAGAACCTGCTGTGTCAGGTCTGTCATGAGCTAGTCTGAGTCCTCTCTTCTGTTCTTAAGGTTCCTGGAGGTAACCCATGAGAGGGGAGGTACTGGGGCAGGGGATCCCTGGTAGCAGAGAAAGCCCACTTCCTTTAGAAAGTACTCCTCACACTTTCTGTCTTGTGCTGAAGTCTGTTTTACTCTTGCCTCAGTTTCCAGCAGTCCAGCAATTTTTAAGCATTGTCCTCTGGATAGAAATAAGGTTTTAGGGGTCTGGGGATTGATCTCAGTGGTGCCATGCTTGCCTCGCAAGTGCAAGGTTCCGAGTTCAATCCCCAGCAGCAGAAAAAGAAACAGAAAAACTAAGGTTTTAGGTAGAATGCACATTTTTCTTGGTCCTTATAGGAGTTTTCAGTTTGTAGGAAGTAGAATATTGTCAGGGCATTGTTTTGATCTTTTTAGTAGTCATATAATAAAGGTATGTTTCTATAGTGGAGTTGGGCTTCTTTATGTGAAGTGTTTTAAGCTTTTGTTGTTTGTTTATTATTTTTGTTTTGTTTTGAGATAAAGTCTTGCTATGTAGTTCAGGCTGATCTTGAACTCACAGAGATCCTCAGACTCCCAAGTGCTGGGATTATAGGTGTGTGTCACCACACCTAGCTTGTTTTAAGCTTTAAAAAGTTCATTTCCAAAGTATTGGGCTTCTATTTCCTACAAAAAGATTTATTTATTCTCTCTGAATAGTTACCCAAGTTGAAACTGAATTCTTGCTGTGTTGCATACTTAAAATTTGAAATTAAGTATTTTCTTTTTTAAAAATGTAGCCAATGCTCTTCATGCTATCAACAACTTGCAAATTATACCGGACTTTAGCCTCAAGGATTCCCGAGACCAGACTGTGCTGGGCCTGGCATTATGGACTGGTAAGTCTGTGCCTCAGGTTGTTGGTTTCTGCAGGCAAATCCATGTAGAAGTATAGGTGGGTGGATAAGAGGAGGGGAGAGAGATGAATGGGGCTAATCGTTTGGTTTTGAAGTAACCTTTGTGTGTGGGTTGGACCTTTAACGTCCAGTGGGGCACTGCCGGCTTTGAGAAATTAAAGGGGTATATTTGTTTTAGTAAGGTGTTGAGGAAGCAGGGAAAGCTGAGCATGCCTTAATCAGGGCTTCTTTATTTCCTAGGCATGCACACGATTGCAGCCCAGCTGCTGGGCTCCGGGGCTTCCATCAATGACACCATGTCAGATGGGCAGACTCTGCTGCACATGGCCATCCAGCGGCAAGACAGCAAGAGTGCGCTCTTCCTCTTGGAACATCAGGCAGATATAAACATCAGGTGGGATGAGATGGTGCTTTCCACTATAATACCAGGCCACATACTGAGATAGTTCAAAAGCATAGAAAATATTTTTATTCCTTCAATTAAGGAATGAAAACAATGGCTCTCAAAAAGTGCGGTGCACAGTAGTAAACTGAATTTAATTAATCAGATTTATGGGATGGAAAAGGGGAACTGAACTTTCTGTTATTGGAATTTCACAAATCTTAGACAATCTGAGATCAGTTCTTAAATAAGAATTTCATTTAGAAAGAACATAGCAACAGATAAACTTCAGACAGACTTAAGGGAGAAAAAGATGCAGTTAAAGTTTTGCTGTGGTTGACTTTTCAAAGGAATTTATAGTTATTTTCAATGTTGGTTTGACCCTAGATAATTGAGTGGGGCAAAAAACTCTTGTCTTGGGGTAGCTGAGTGGCATTTTTTGTTGGTGGTGTTTTATTAAGATGCTATTAAAAGCAGGTGTATTCCTGTAAGATTTCAGTAGGTTGGAATGCTGGCCATTTGTCATCTGGCTGCATTAGGGTGGGCTATATTTTCTTTTTTTCAAGATTAACTTATTTGTGGTATACTGTAAAACAAAAAGGAAAAATCTAATTCCTGCTTCCTATCATTTCAAAAATTCTTAAGGGTGCTAAAATAAAACCACTTTGGATTTTGTTAATTTTTAAAGTAAAAACTCCAGGTAGAAAAATGAAGCAGTAGGTGAGGTCCAAGAGCAGCAGAGGCTGTGCAGTCCCAACACTGTAGCCTGTGCATCCCAGAGCTGCCTGGATGGCTATGTTTTCTAAAAAGGCAGAAGAAACAAACGCTATTGACAGGTTTCATTTCCCTGAGAAAATTTAAATGCTTGTGAGTGAAATATATATAAGGGATATAGTGGAATCTGGGTTTTCAGATTGCACAGGAGGGCACCCTTTGTTCTTTGGCTCCAGCTACAAACTTTGGTTTTGGTTTTGGTGTGCATGTCCTAGCAGGACTCAAGATGGGGAGACTGCCCTTCAGCTGGCCATCAGAAATCAGCTTCCGCTGGTGGTTGATGCCATATGCACCCGAGGAGCTGACATGTCTGTTTCAGACGAGAAAGGGAACCCCCCACTGTGGCTTGCATTGGCAAATAATCTGGAAGACATCGCATCCACTCTGGTGAGACAAACAACAAATGTAGTGTTAGCGTGTTTACAGATGGGAATATTTAATGTCAGAGATGAATTTGGTGCCTACATACTCACAGGAGCAAGAGATCTGCCAAATAAATTGGTCTGGGAACAAACAAAAGTCACGCTAGCAAACAAAACCCAGTTCAGCATGGTTTTGGCGAACACTTTTGTTTTGAGACTGTCTTTATCAAGAAGGCCACGAAAAAGCAAATGAGTGGTGATGTTTGTTCAGGAGTCTTCTCCTGGGTTTGTCAATTTGATGTGGGCTGTCCTCACAATTACTATCGCAGTGAATTCCCAAATCTCGGGTTTGTCTACCTTGTTTGTACGACAGGCCCCCAACAGTAGAGTTAAACCTTGGAATTTCCTTTTTAGCTCTCTAAAGGGCCTGCTCTTGATATTAAGACATTTTACACCTGGGGAGATTGCCTGTGATTATTGAGATTGCCTGGTAATTGCAGGTAGGTGGTGTTGGGGGCTGATGAGTACATGTGTAAGCAGGCATCGCTGTTTTCTGTCCCTTCTACAACACAGCTCTAGAGGTACTAATTAAACATTCCCTGACCCATCCCACAGGACCTGGTGTAAGAACTTGCACAGAACAGATTTGAATCACTTTTTGTAAAACAAATAATTATGCAGATTAAAGTAATTAGCAGCCGGGGATTTAGCTCAGTGGTTCTGCCACCTGCCTCGCATGCGCAAGGTCCTGAGTTTGATCCCCGGTACCAAAAAAACCCCAAAAACTAAAAGTAATTCGCAGTTAAATGTCAACCATATCTCACCTGAAAAATGAATCTAATGATGTACATAAAACTCAGACTTGGTAATAAAAGTTTTCACTTTTGGTTGACAGTGTTTGTGAGAAACTTTTGTTTTTTGCAGGTCAGACATGGTTGTGATGCCACATGCTGGGGTCCAGGACCTAGCGGGTGCCTTCAAACCCTCTTGCATAGAGCCATTGATGAAAACAATGAGTCCACTGCCTGCTTTCTTATTCGCAGGTCTGTGAAGCACAAGTATCTCTTGAAATTGTATTCAGCTTATTGCAAACTGGCTCTGCTCTTATGTTAATCCATCTCCAGTCTAGACATACCCACAGCTGGCTTGATCTTCACCATTAAGACCATCAGAATCACTGTTCTATCATGTCAACTCAGCCAAAAGCCAGCTCAGTTGTGAGAGGAGGGGCTCACATGCCTGGATCAGAGACTCTTAAAAAATTGAGCTACATCCTGTTTGGGAAGCTACGTGGCTCCTGCGGTCACGTCAGACCAGTTCCCATTGCAAAGCCAAGAGGCTAAGGCAGAGGAGACCAGATGGCATCTGCTTGCTACCACCTAGATGTATACACCATGACAAGTTCTGTGCCCCTCAGAGTGTGGGATATGTGGGAGGCCAAGTGATTCAGGAAACCTTTTATAGTGGTGCTCCTCAAACTTAAATATTTGCATACTTCCGAGGGAGCTTGTAACTGTTCTGATCCCAGATTTCACCCAAGACCAATTGCAGAAGAATCTGTGGCAATGGGACCTCCATTCCAGTATTTGAGATCTGGGACCAAGGATAGCAGATTTTGGCACCAGCGGTTTTTTTGTTGGGGTGAATAAGGCTGCTTTTCTGTAGGCCAGGTGGCACACGCCCTTCCCTCTTTTGCCTCATTCCTTTCAGTGGCTGTGATGTGAATAGTCCCAGACAACCAGGTGCTGAGGGAGAAGGAGAGGAAGAGGCCAGAGATGGGCAGACCCCTTTGCATTTGGCAGCCTCATGGGGGCTGGAAGAAACAGTGCAGTGTCTTTTGGAATTTGGCGCCAATGTAAATGCACAGGTATGTAGTCTTTCTTTCCAGTGAAGTTGATGCTTACGCACAGGGAATTCTCTTGTGGAAAGGGACCTTGTAGAGTCACCAGATGTAGGTTTTTGCTTTACCATGAACAGGGTTTTGGTATGACATGAAGTGACTCTGAGTTATACATCTTGTCTAGCAATTGAAATGATTTCAGGTTAAGGTCCCATTGTTCCTAAATAGCATGAGGAAAGTTTGTTTTATCTGTTGTTCTTCGTCTACTGTTCCTCTATTAGAGATTTCCTCTGAGACTTGGGTTAGTCCCAAACTGAATATAGTGTTCAGGACAATGTCCATTAACTCCCTGAGTTCTGGTCCTTGATGCTTTACAACATTCTGGCCTGGGAAGATTTATATGTGATGCCCTATAATCAGATAAGGAGTGATGTAACTTGGAGCAGATCTTCTAATGCAAATATGTTTGTGTTGGGCCCCCTGTTGCCACTGAAACTCTGGAACATAGTGTAATAAGAAGCAGCTTCCAGTCATTTCTATGTTTGGCTTTTTACAAGCTGATTTCAAACACAGGTTGGAGGTGTTTATTCTCACAACCAAAATTTGACCCAAAAGTTACCTGTCTTTATATTTTTCTTGAGTTTTATCTCTCAATTTGGCATAGAAATCTTCTTCCCCTAGGATGCAGAAGGAAGAACACCTGTCCATGTGGCCATCAGCAACCAACACAGTGTCATCATTCAGTTGTTGATTTCTCACCCTGATATCCACTTGAACGTACGAGACAGACAAGGACTGACTCCATTTGCCTGCGCCATGACGTATAAGAACAACAAGGCAGCCGAGGCCATTCTAAAACGCGAGCCTGGGGCTGCTGAGCAGGTGAGTGACCAACACCTGCCATTCTCCACAACAGAACTCATGTGGAAACTAAACAGGTTGTCACCAGCTAAGCAGGACTCTTCTGTACAGAGACATTTGTTTTTAGATTATGCCTCCTTTTCCCAGGATTTGTCCATTCAGATGTCCTGTCAGTGCTAGTTAAGAAGTGACTGCCCTGTGTGTCAGCCACCTGATGATGCATACTTAGGTGGAAGTGGGAGCTTGCTGGGCCTGGTGATAGGAATTCTGTGGCACGTATAGCTGACCTCATACTCTGCTTCTGCTGGCTATCTAACTGACCTGATGACTGTCTTTAAAAGATTGAAACTGAGCTGGAAGAGTTTGTATTGTGGTGTTGGATATTTTAGAGGAGTTAAATTGTTACTTGTTCTGTGCAATTTTTTATCAGCTGTTAAATCTAGATTGTTATTTGTTGATGTACAACAGAGAGGCTAGAGAATGACCATAATGACTAAGCTGAGGTAGGAGCTGGGATGGGTTTGTCAAATCAGACCCCCCAACCCCATGTGATTCTCCAGCCACCATGTAGCATACTGCCAAGACATACAAAGCTATTTGTGAAAGTGAAATGAAAATGGGGATGGGGAAATTTAGCCTACTGGTGCTGCCAGCTGTCTCACAAGTGCAGGGTCCTGAGTTCAATTTCTGGCACCAAAAAAAAAAGAAAATATGGGGCTTGAGTGAAATGCAGTTCTAGTATGGGGAAGATTATTGCTCGGTATTTTAGACTTTTGTACCTTATTTTTCTACAGTATTTTCTTTTTTTTCTTCTTCTTCTTCTTCTTCAATATTTTCCTGTAATTGGATGGATTGCTAGGTGTTAACTGCACCCTTGCTCAGAGAGTATAAAATCTTCATGAATGGAGATCTTTGTCTCTCATCTCATTCTGGGTTTAGCTTGAAACTGGAACTGTTGCTCCAGGGCCTTTGCAGATACATTGTTACACTAGCAGGTCCGAAGACCTATCTGTGGGAGGTATCAAGGTGTTGAGATGTGGTGTCTCCCTCATTTCCACCTGAACAATCATCCTAATGACAGCTACTGTGATGTCAGTACACAATGTGGATTGATTTGAGTGAGCTCTATCTGCTTTACATTAATGGAGCAAAGTCTGTAGCATGTGCTGACTGCCTCTTGCATTGTGTATTATCTGCTAGCTCAGAAAAAGAAGAAACTCCTCCCAGATTTTTGAGGCCTTTGTTTCACTGGTCAGGGGACAAGCTGGCATTGCTCCTGTGGTGTTAGGGCACTAGGTTCTTAGTTTAGCCAAAACAGAGAGACTATCAAGGCTACCTTTGCCTCTCTCCAAGTACTCCTGTACCTTGCATTCTTTTCCCTGTCCTTTAGGTTATTGTTTTTCTTGAATTTTAATGTTCAGTTTTTGCTGCAGGAAAATGATAGGGTAGCTTGGATCAGTGTAGTGGCTCCTTGCTCCTGGCCACGTGGTTGTGACTATGCACATGTATGTGCAGAGATGATAGAATGGGTATGTGGTGGGGTAGTATAGGAAGGGGATGGCATTTAATGTTGGTTCTTGGGAAGGAACTTCTGGAACTAAGGAAAAGATTACATTATGACCTCTTCCGTAATCCTTGCAACTGAGATGCAACTGGCAGATACAAGACTCTTGGCTCAAGAGTCATTCTTTAAAAGGAACCTGCTAATATTTTGGTTTTTATTTATTGCTGTAGGTGGATAACAAGGGCCGGAATTTTCTTCATGTGGCAGTTCAGAACTCTGATATTGAAAGTGTCCTATTCCTAATCAGTGTCCAGGCTAATGTGAATTCCAGAGTCCAGGATGCTTCCAAGTTGACTCCTTTGCACCTCGCTGTCCAAGCAGGCTCAGAGATTATTGTCCGCAATTTGGTAAGTGACTCAGAACCCCGTTGCGTGTGACGCAGTATAGGGGTTTACACAGACTTTCTCATTACAGGTGTTTTGCCAGGTACTATGAAAGGCCAGCATGAATTTTGAGGTCTAGGCCAATGTTCTCAGGAAACAAGATGTGGCGGGGGACTGGAGAGTGACAGGACATGGATCTGATGGCATCAGGTGTCTGCTACTTGTGGGGAAGCAGCTAGGTGGTGGGATTGACCTCCGAGGAGTAGGCAAACAGGCCTTGTGTTCATCAGTCAGTCTGCATCCTCAGAGCCTGTGGAGATTTAAGATCCTTCACCATGGTCGTGTTCCTGCCTTACCTAAGGGCTGACCTTTCAGACAGTAGCCATGTGCTGCTGCTTCTCTGAACTGGTGCAGCACAATGTTTGAACCTGTTCACAGTGAAATAATGCCATACTGACCTGCTTGCCCCAACCCCAGATAGCCTTGGAGTTAGCTGTGATCTCTAGCCCAGCACTAGTGACCATGAATATTCCTCTGTATGCCTGTGTGGAGCATCCCTTGGCTACTTACAGTATGTCTTATCTATGTGTGATGGGGTACGCAGGCAGGGTCTCAGAGGATCAAGACTCAAGTCTGGGAGAAAACATGCATAGCTGACTGGTGCCTCCCAGAGTCAGGTACCTATGCACCCAGAGGAGCTAGGGGTGCCACATACCTCAGGAATGGCAAACAGGGATCTGACTGCAAACTACAAAGTCTTTTCTGTTAATGGCAACTGTCTTTGAAACTGTCAGAAAGTGGATGATGAATGAACTTCAGATACTAAATGAATAGTCAAGATATTATTTAAAGATTCTTCTTGCTTTTGAATCTGTAATGCTTTGTGGTCTTTCTTTTAAAAAATATAAACAGTAAGGGAGGAGGGGTGAAGGGAGGGCAGGGACAGGGGAAAAAATGAGAACCAAGACCTGTCATGTAAAGGTACAAGATCCCAGTAATGAGTGTAACTGTATTGTATACCTAAAATGTACCAATAAACTCAGTAAGGAAAAAAAAAGACAAAACAATATATAAAGAGTAAATGGGTTTTGAGAAAAATTAAAGCACATAAGGGAAAAATACTTATCTTTTACTCCTGACTCCCCTCTGAGTTTGTTATACACTTACTGCTAATTATGGAGTTTTGTTTGTAGAATTTCATTCTTGAGCATTTTTGTCATTTGGCCAACTTCATAGAACATGCAGACAGCCTCAGACAGCTACAATATCCCTAGGCAGTAAAACCCTACCTCAGCATCTCACCACCATGTGTGTGGTCATTACTGACTGAAGTGTCATTAGCAACATGTGACTATTTATTTTAAATACATTGAAAGTTTGTGTTTCTCTGTGTGCATATACATCTGTCTCTCTCCAGATGGATTCATTCCACCTTCTAATTTGCTTTTCTTTTCAAGAGCACAAATCCATACCTTTGCTTGTTTATTTTTCATTACTTTAAATCCTTGAAGGGTGCAGCATCACATGGGGCTGTTCCCTGTGGGCTTAGCAGATATGTTCTTCAGAATTTCACAAGAACCATGCCACTGTCTCCATGGACATGAGTTAACCTTTCCCTAGGTGACTCTGGGTTTTTTAGTTTGCCACAAGAATTCAGGGATTATTTAGTTCAGTGGTTCTGGTGCCTGCCCATTAAACGCAAGGGCCTAAGTTCGATCCCTGGTACCAAAAAACAAAAGAATTCTGATTGTTCTTTGTTTTGTACACATAAGAACATCACTTTCAAGTTTTTTTGTTTGTTTGTTTTTTGTTTGTAGTACTGAGGATTGAACTCAGGGCCTTCACACTGAGCTACCTCCCTAGCCCATTTTTAAATTTTGAGACAGGAGGACCAAGATTTTAGCTTAGTGGTGCTGCTGCCTACCTCACAAGCACAAGGTCCCGAGTTTGGTACAACAAAAAGCTTTTTTGAGACAGGGTCTTGATGAGTTGTGAAATTTCCCAAGTTGGCAACTTGCAGTCATGCCTGCCTGCCTGCCAGAGTGTTGGAGTTCATGTATAGGCATGTACTACCATGTGTGGCTAATGCCTTCAGTTTTAAGAACTGGGTGCTCCCTTTGGTTCCAGAGCTCCAACAGAAATGGCCTTGTACTTCCAGATCTGCTCTTCAGAAGTCCTTTTGCTGGCAGGCTCCTTAGGCTACAAATTGAGGGGAAGAACTGGCTTTAAAAAAAAAAAAAACCCAAAACAAAAAACTTTATTGTCAACATCTTTCCATGTTAATATATAGCTATATTATTTTATAATTTAAATACACTATAATACACACACACACACACACACACACCCTTCTTGCCATTGGGCTTTACTACTACAAGCATTGGACAACCATATATAGTATAATGAATATCACTGCAGGACTGTGTGGTTTTTACATACTAGTGTCCTAGAAATAGAATTTCTACATCTCAAGGAATAGCTTTTGAACATTTTGGTACATAAGTGCTATTTTGCCCTTGATGAAGAGTTTGCTGTTTTTTGGTTTTTTTTTTTTTTTTTTTTTTTTTTTTTTTTTTTTTAGGTCTTGCTATGTAGTTCAGGCTGGCCTCAAATTCTCAGCAATCTTCCTCCCTCACCCTCCCAAATGCTGGGATTATAGGCGTGGGCCACCAGCCCAGCCAATTCTGCTAGTTTTGCCTCACCAGTATTGTGTGTGAGGTCCTCAGTACCCAGCTTTGCAAGCAGGGCAGACCATCAGTCTTGGTGGAATCAGAGGAAAAATAGGGTGGGCCCCATAAGTGGGACCTTGATTGTGTTAGAAAGGCTGCTCAAGTAATCAACTTCAACAGCTTCTTGCAGGAGCCAAGGTGAATGAATTAACGAAGCACCGTCAGACTGCCCTCCATCTTGCTGCCCAGCAGGACCTGCCGACCATCTGCTCAGTCCTCCTAGAGAATGCAGTGGACTTTGCTGCTGTGGATGAGAATGGAAATAATGGTAATTTCGGTCATTGCTCTGTGCATTGCTACATGCAGTGAGCAGTGCCTCCTTTCTAAGGATTGGAGGTGTACCACACCCTTGCATCTTGCTCCTCAGGGAGGTTGGATTATATAGGAACAGAACTGTAACAGGAAATACTCTGGACAGGGCATGACTCCTTCCACTGACCAGGTCTTGGGTGGCTTCCCAATATAACTGATAATTCTGGAACACAAAGGGGGGCGTCTTATAGCTGGGTGTGGTGGTGTGTGCACTTGGGAGGCTAAGGCAGGAAGATTACCATGAGTTTAAGGCCAGCCTGAACTACATAATGAGACCCTGTGGTGGGGGGAGCTCCTTGTGAAACTGTTAAATCTCATCTTTGGAGCTTCTGAAGCAGGAAGCAAAGGCTTGTGAGACTGCATTTATGACTCATTCTTCAAGGGTAGTAAAGACAGGAGGGGCTAGCTCTGTGCATGACCAGTCATAGGTCTGACTGAGTCTTGTTTAGAAAATGTTGGCGAGGATGGGGAGGAACTGCAGTTTTTCTGCATGTGCTTCTGCGCTTGTATAGTAAGTGGATTTACTTCCCAGCTCTTCATCTTGCTATCATGCATGGTCGGCTCAACAATATCCGGGTTCTCCTGACAGAGTGCACAGTGGACGCTGAAGCCTTTAATCTGAGGTGAGTTGTCTTGTCCAGAGCAGAGACCAGGACTCTGGGTCACCTGGATGCTCATCAGAGCTAGTGATAACCAGTGCATGTCCTCAGCATGCTGCAAAACTTGACCAGCTTTTGGTTCCCTGGTATTTTTGGCTTTGTAACAAATACTTTTTAAAAAAAATTTTATGACCTGCTAATTGTCTTGTAGATTTACCCTGCATCATGGAATTCAGAAAATCTTTCTTTCGCAATGACTAACTTTTCCAACTTGTTTTATCAGAGGCCAGTCACCACTGCACATTTTGGGACAGTATGGCAAAGAGAATGCAGCAGCCATCTTTGATCTCTTCTTAGAGTGCATGCCTGAGTATCCTCTAGATAAGCCGGATGCAGAAGGAAACACAGGTATTTACTAAGGTCATTATCTTGGGCACTCAGCTCAGTGCATTTTGGCTGAACTCAGCATCTGTGACACAACCCTGTTGTGACATTTGGAGTATCTGATCGCTGAAGTGTATCTAACTTTCAAGCCATCTCCATGTCCAAACAGGCCTATCTGGGTTGTTTTGTTTTGTTTTTCTCCTGCCTATCTGTTTTTATTGCCTTTGTCTGCCTTTTATTCAGGGCTCACTAGGGACTTTCCCAAGCTCCTGAATTCCAGCAGAGAAAGATGTAAATACCTCCCAATGGCTTCAAGAGCAGGAAATGTGCTGTTGAGTATGTTGACAATGCTTTGAAAAAGCAGCAGATGCAGGATGTGGTGGGACACATGTATCATCCCAGCATTCAGGAGGCTGAGGCAAAAGGAGCACAAATTCAAGGCCAGCTTGAACTACATAGTGAGACCCTGTCTCAACAAAACAAAAAAAAAGGGCAAAAGCGGTGGTCTCTTTCATGGACACTCTAGCTACCCACACTGTCTGTGTTCATTTGTACGCTTTCATAGCTTCTTTGATATACTTTCATATACCATTTCTTGTTGAATATGTACATCGTCCCCATGAGGTAAGCAATGAATATAGTTTTCAGCTAACAAAAATAAAGACTCAAAAAAGGATGAAAACTTTTATCCTAGCTGAGAGCTGAGACCTTTTTTGCTGTTGCATTCCCATTCATTTACTCCATGCCAGAAGAGCCTTCATGGCCTTTGGCAGAAATGCAGTCACCATAGGATACTCTGAACTTTAGCAAGGGACCAGATATTTTGTCAGTAGTTCTTAGCTTTGGGAAAGTTAACTGGCCTTGAGCCACTGGATAATAGGCCTGAGTTTCAGAGCACTTAGCCTCCAGGAGTGAGGTGCTAGAGGCAGAGGATGTCCGAGGAGCACTATTGCCCAGAAGCAGGTACACAGGCAGGCAGCGGAAGGGGCTTCATATCCAGGATCCTAATTTCCAGAGACCTGGGTTTAAATGTCTCGCTGTTTCATATTTTAACAGGGTAGCTGGATAAATTTTCTAACCTATTTGTGTATCATTGCTTAATAATCACAGCAATAGCCCTCAACTTACTGCATCTTTATTTTTTTCTTTTTTTTTTTTTTTAAGAGTTTTGGTTTTTTGAGACAGGATCTCACTATGTAGTTGAGACTGACCTGAACTCACTATGTAGCCTAGACTGGTCTTGAACTCACAGCGATCCTCCTGTCTCAGCCTCCTGAGGGCTGGAATTACAGGCGTGCACCACCATGCCCGGCTTACTGCATCAATTTGAGAGTTAAAAATTTAATGGAATTGTCTGATCCAAGTAAGCAAAGGAAGCTGCAGTTAGCTGTCATTGTTTAAATAGAAGGTCAGTAGGATGGCCAGGCCAGAGGCTCCATTGGGTAGAAGGTGGAACATTATTTCCAGTGTTCCCTAGGACTGACTTTTTTTGGTCTATGTGTGTACAAATCACAGGTCTTTAGATTTAGTTACATTATGTGAAAAAGAGCTTTTTTTCCTTTGTGGTAAAAGCATTGTTTTATGGCAGAGGAAGGCAACTGAGACAACAGTGTAATTTTTCTTCAGTGTCTGATTCTTACCTCAGCTGTGCACAGGAGAGTGTATCCCTGGAACCATAGCTGCTCAAGAATCCCTTGGCTCATGTCTGGATCCTCATGGAGGTCTCACCAGAGCCTTGGCCCCCATGTCTATAGGGACTTCCCTAGCAAATATCTGGCCTTCAGCTGTCCTCTGCCACCCTTTGGCAGTGCCAGGCTGGATGCTAGGTGGGAAGTAGCCATACATTTGGTCTTGTTTTCCAGTGTTGCTTTTAGCATACATGAAAGGGAATGCCAACTTGTGCCGTGCCATTGTCCGATCTGGGGCTCGCCTGGGAGTGAATAATAACCAAGGAGTCAACATTTTCAATTACCAGGTTGCCACCAAGCAACTTCTATTTAGACTACTAGGTGAGTAGCCTATGATTTGCTCTTTATTGCAGAAACAATTATAGTGTTGATTTTTTTTTTAAAGCCAAAGATTTATTGGTACATTTTAGATATAAATAATGATCACATTCATCATAGGGATTTATACCTGTACATAGTATGTCTTAGTTCTTTTTTTCACCATTTCCCTCCCCTATCTTCACCCACCCCCATTTACAAAAGCTTTGTTTCCATTTTTGCCTTTTGTTCTTGGTTTTTGTTTTTTTGGTACCGGGGATCGAACTCAGGTCCTTGCGCTTGTGAGGCAGTCCCCAGAACCACTGAGCTAAATCCCCAGCCCCTTGTTCTTTTTTTTTTAAAGACTTTTTCCCTTCCTTCCCTTCTCCCTTCCACCTCCCTTATTCCCCTTTGCATTTGAACATGTTCTTCCTACCTCTCGATATCTGTCCCTGTTTTGTTCCTTATTTATTACCCTTTGGGTTTCTCACACAAGAGAAACAGTATATTTAAACTTGTGTGTCGTAATATATTTCACTTAACATTATGTTCTCAAGTTGCATCTATTTACCTAAAAATGATTCAAGTTTATCCTTCTTTATGGCAGAGTAGTACTCTATTGTATATAAATGCTACATTTCCTTTATCCATTCATCAACTGATGGGCATTATGTTTTGTTTCCAAGATTCAGCTATTATAAATTGTGCTGCTGTTAGGGTGTGCATATATCAGTGTGTTATGATGCTTTTAGCTCTTTTCAGAACTCTTGATTTTTTATTTGCTTGTTTTTACTCCTTCCTATTGAGGTATAGTAGCAAGAATCAGAATATCTTGAGTGCCCAGGCTTTGTCATCACCCAGAATGGAGACCAGTTGGCAGGAAAGCTCAGAAGTACTTTGTGGCAGTGTGATATTGATGTAGGTGGTTGGCTAAGGTCACAAAGCTGGTTGTGGCACAGCTGCACTGAAGGATGGGATTTCAGAAGCAAGACGTGGAAGCACTAGAGGTGTCCACCTGCGGATGGACAGATGCATAGAGAAATACGTGTATGTGCACAATGGAGTTCTCTTCAGCCAGGAGTAAAGATAAGTCCAGCTACTTGCAGCAAGATGGGTGAAGTGGAAGATACTATGCTAAGTAAAATAAGCCAAGCAGAGAAGGAAACCATGTGCTCTCACTCTTGTGGAAGATAAGGAAGCTTATTGCATAGACATAGAGAGCAGAATAGTGGTAACTAGAGGCTGGAAACAGAAAGTAGAGGGAAGTGGATAATAGCACCAAAATCCACCTGGATAGGAGGAGTAAGTACTGGTACTCTCCAGCACAATAATATGATATTTACTAATAATATGTGATTTACTACATATTTTGTAAAGAAGGAGAAAGGGGTTTGAAGGCTCCCAACACAAAAAAATAATTGTATGCAGAGAAGGAAATTACTCTGATTTGATCATCATCCTGTATACATCTACTGAATTATCACACTGTACCTCACTAATAAGTGCTATTATTAAATGTTACTTAAAATGTTTTAAAAAGCATGTGTTCAGGCCAGGCATGGTGGCGCATGCCTGTAATCCCAGCACTTGGGAGGCTGAGGCAGGAGGATCGCTGTGAGTTTGAGACCAGCCTGGGCTACATAGTGAGTTCCGGGTCAGTCTCAACTACATAGTGAGACTCTGTCTCAAAAGCCCCCCTCCCCACAAAAAAGCATATGTTCAGAATACCTAGTCTAAGGGCTGGAGATTTAGCTCAGTGGTTCTGCTGCATGCCTTGCAAGCACAAGCAGCTGAGTTTGATCCCTGGTACAAAAAAAAAAAAAACAAAAAAAACAAAAAACAATACCTAGTCTACTTTAATTTTTCCTTTTCCATGCACTTGGTTGCCCTTTTGAGCAGGTGCCTGTCACAGTGCTGGTAAAGGAAAAAAAGTCACTGTGACTGACTGCATGCTGCATGTCATTTCCTCCCCATGAGTTCAGTTACTGGGTATGGAGCATAAGCACAGTGCCTGGGGTGCAGTTAGAGCTCATTACATAAATACTAGCAGTTGTTATTGCCATGAAAACCCATCTGCTTTAGCACTTTCTCTGTCTATTCTCTGTGATGGCCCCACCAGACTCAGCCAGTCCATCTAGAAACCTGGGAATGCCTTTGTTTCTGTCCTTCTCCCTGCTTCCCTCTCACATCTTGCCCTCCTATTTAGTCCCTAGATCTGCCAGATTCTACCTCCTGAGCCTGTTGTCTCTCTGCCATGTTCCCCTGACCATTTGATTCCTGGAGGTCTTTCTAGTGTGTGGCACCTGCTCCCTCTGCACTGTGCCTTGCACTCCCTCCAGCCCTTGCTGCATGTAAACTCTCCCCACAAACTCCCATGCTGCTGTTCCACCACCTTGAACCGTGTTTTCTCCTCCCCAGCCTACCTGGAAGTGCTAAGTCTCCATAGTCTCCTGTGGGAAGCTTTCCTTGACCCAGTTAGAGTGTATCACCCCTCTTCCCTCATGTCATTCAGCAGTGTGCTGCTTTCTTAGTCTGTTTTCCTGACCTCATTGGCACAGTCAGTTTGACAGGAGCTAGTCTTCTCCTGTATGTGTTACAGATATGCTGTCTAAGGAGCCTCCATGGTGTGATGGCTCCAACTGCTATGAATGCACTGCCAAATTTGGAGTTACAACTCGCAAACATCACTGGTAAGACCTCTCTGTCTGCTATCACTTGCCTCTAGAAGATGAGGGGACTTACATTGATATCATTACTTCCACACTTTTCATTGACTTACCAGGACCCTGTACTGCCCTGGACAAAATGTCACCAAATAGAATGATGAGATGACAAGACTGAGCAGGGTCCAGCCAAGGAGTGTATTATGTGCATGATGGAGGTGTAAGGAAGGCAGGGAGCATTCATACTGGTATACTTCTTGCTGGGTGCTAAGGGCACACAGGTTCTGGGGGATCTGCCAGACCCTGTGTCATCTGCCCTGGGCTTGCAACAAAACCAAGAAGAGCTTCTGCTCTCATGGAGTATCTGAGTAGAGGCTGCTGTCCTGAGAACTGAGGCCCTATTCCCATTAAATTGTGAGGTAGTTTGCTGAGCTGTCCTTTATTTTTAAATGAAGCCTTCTTCAGCATTACTTTATTAGCTTAATTATTGGCTAGAATTTTGTTTACATGGAATAAAACTTATACATGAATTGGTGTAACTAGGCTGCAGAGTTGGCCAGAGTACCAGTTGTGGGCTGGCTTGTCCCGTGTGCCAGGGAGCAGTCTTTCCTTTACCACCTCTCTCATACTTCCTCTCTTTGCTTCCACAGTCGTCACTGCGGACGTCTTCTTTGCCATAAATGCTCAACCAAGGAGATTCCTATCATAAAGTTTGATCTGAACAAACCTGTGCGAGTTTGCAACATTTGCTTTGATGTACTGACTCTGGGTGGGGTCTCTTAGTGAGTCCCAAAGAGGGTCCAGGCCACATCTCCTGTCATCTTCTAAGTAGCTGCTCTTCTCACCAGCCTGACCCCAACCCAGAGCCGAGCTGGCAGTCTTCCTGCACCAAGAGACTGGAATAATTAAGGACCATGGTGTGATTCCCATTTCAAATGATGCTGTGTGATTGTGAGTGTGTCAGGCTGTGATCAGTTTCATTAATGTCTCACTAACTGGACCAGGCCATTTAGCTTAAGTGGTAAATGTGATAGAGTTAGATCCATTCTGCTAGCAGCATACAAGGACACTTTGAAACCATTTTTTCGTCCAGTAGCTTAGTAGTATCCATCTCAGAGCATTCATGCAGTCTTCCTGCTTGGGCTGACTCACGAGGCAGAGCCTAACAGAGCTGAAAGCTGGCTCCCTAATGGGAGCTTTACTCTAGGGTGATTGGCTGTGGACTTTTCTGCGGTGACTTCATAAATAGGATCCTCTTGCCCATAAGTCTTCTTTTTTTTTTTAAGCTAAGGTGTATTTTTAATGAGCTATCCCTTTTTAAAAGGTGAAATCTTTCTAAACAGGGTTCAAAGATGAGAGCTGAAAAATCGTGGCCTTAACAACCGAAAGCTTTACCAGTGTTCATGCTGCTGAGGTGTCAGGAGTGCGGGGTGGCAGCTTGATTCCTCCTAGCAGCTGTCTCATTCTCTCGTCTTGCTGCGTCCTGTCTGTGGAGTCTTCAGTTACTCTGCCACTAGAGTGGTGGAGGAAATGCACTTTGATTGTGCTGCACTTTTTATATAGCTGCGTTACTGGTGATTTCGATTTAAAAATCTATATTCAAAAATACCCTCAGTCATCCTTGCATCAGTGATTCTAATGTTCAGCTTTGGCTTAGCCCTACACTAGTGCTACACTAGTGCTGAATGTATGTTGGCGTAAGAGATTCATACAGGCCAAGTAATGAGAAGAGGGATCAGCAGGACTTCAACCCCAGAGGCATCTCCAGCTTCAAGACAGCAGGTCCTATGTCCGAGATGCCCCTGCTTCTCTCGGAAACCTCCCCTGGTTATGCTGTGAGTTGTGTAGCTTTCCCTGTTCATGAGGGCCAACAGTCAAAGGCCCTGGCCAAGAGTGTATAACTGGTTTTGGAAGGCTCTGGCTTGCACATTGAATGAGGCCTCCTGAACTTATTTGGCCTTAGTCGCTGCTAGTACCTATATTAACCCTGAGATATTAAACTTTTCTTTGGAAAGTTTGGCCAGTTTTCAAAATATGCATGGTGAAAGAGAAACTTGTACCATTGCTTTTTAAAACACCAAATTCAGAGATGAACAATATGTACTAGTTATACTCAGAGATTAACGGTCTCAAACATATGTACTAATTTTCTAGATATTTAATAACCACTACATTTTTTGCATTAACAAAATATGGATAACGATATATGTGTAAAGGGACTAATTTTTTTAAAATTCAACAGCCTGTTTTCTTTTTTGAATAGTGATAATGTCCTCTATGTTGCTGTAGATTATACATTCTCTTGCCTAAATGTGTGTAAAATGCGCTGATAAACCGGAGTGCTACTTTTTAAAGATATTTCTGTGATTTATAAGATATATGCTATGTTAATATGAGCTTGTGCAGAGTGTTTAAAAGAAAAAAAAAAAAAAAAGAAGAGGCATTTCCCCGTCCCCTAGTCTGTGACATGTTTCATATGGAAGTTTTACAGGAAAACTCAACAAAGTCTTGACAAATGACCATGTGAAGCATTGAGGCCAGTTTCTGTTTTTTGTTGCCTGAAAAGGGTCACAAAAACACAGGGCTTAGGTAGCTTAATTCTTTAATCAGAAAAGATAATTATGATTCAAGATGAATTGAGATGGACGGTACACACTTTGTTCTTTAAAGACTGTTCACAGTGGACTGGGTAGGATGGGGTTCAGTCAGGGATGAGGCTGATCTGCCCTTGCCCTGCCAGACCAGTTTCAATAGCAATCTTGCCTGTTATTGTACTGAAAATCTTAAGATCATGTTTAAAATATGTTGATTCAAGCTTCTCTTTGTACTGCCCAGCCATGGATTCGGGGAACATTTTTTTGAGTTCTGCATTGGTATATGCATGTAGATAAGGAATGAGCATCTTTCTGCAGTCTGAGGAATAGATAAGGAATGAGCATCTTTCTGCAGTCTGAGGAGACTTCCCTGGCCGTGCTCATGCTCACTGGGCTGCAGCTTACCTGTAGGAGTCCAGCTTACACTGCCCTGGACCCAGACACACTCTGTGCCCCTCTTGTGTTCCTCATGCTGTCAAGACTTGACTACAAAACTGCCCAGCTGTTCTTACTGAATTTTAATCAGTGGCTTAAGTACTAGTAGCTTAATTTTTTTCATTCTGAAAGTTTCCAGTTAGGAATGAGTAGAGCAAGAAGAATAAACTTCACTGAAACATGATTTGCTGTATCGATCAACATTGGTAAGGTGAATTTGCTTTTTAACTGCCTCTTATCACCCGACTTAGTGTACTTTTTTCTAATACAGAGGTACAAACCATGTGCTATATATAAATCAAATGGCTTAAGCTAATCTGCCATGATCCTGTAACACAGATGTCCCACAAACTTAAGTGCCTACACTTAGGACGACTCTAGTTTCAGTTATCTTCTCGGTGATGTCTCACTGAATGATATATTAGAACATGTGTTTCATTTGGAGTTTTGTACCTGTGCATTGTCAACCCCAATTACCAATTTAGTCAAGGCTGGATTAGACTGCTCAGTTCATCCGCCACATTCTCTCCAAGGAGTGGGTTCCATGTGACGTTTAGTCCTCTACCTCAGAGCCCTGAGTCATTCTGACCACCTGGATCAGCTTCTGCACTCTCTCCACTGAGTGGGTCTCCTGCATGGAGCTCAGTGTGCATGTGGTCTCGTCACTTCCTGATTCATGTTCCTCATGTTGTATCAAACTGTTCCTGCACTAATCTGGTCCACAGGCATAGGGCAGAAGGAAGGCTTGGGAAGGGCAAGAGCACTGTACTCTGTGTAGGTTTCTTTCACGTGGAAAAAAAGAACACTGTGGACTATAATGCTTAGCCCTGAAAGGCAAGATGACCACCCAGGTGACAGTGGCATGCACAAGTAAATATACACTTCTACCACAGACACACTTGCTTCCCTCAGGTCGAGCCCCAGAAGAACCGCCTGTGGCACCAGAGCTGTCCCTCAAGCTAGGGAGAGGGGCGAACAGAGAGGAAACAGCTTGCCAAAGGCATTCGGAAGCCACACTTTCACTTATGAAGCAATTTAGTGAAGAGCTGAGTGTTTGATCAAATGTAAACTAAATTAACAGAAATTACAGATGCCTTAAAGACTTTCTTTGGAAGATTATCACTTGTACAGTTCTTTTATGTGGCATAAATAATGTATTAACCTGTAACAACTGACAACATTGGTCTTCTGTAGCTAGGAGGTCTTGAGACTGCTCAACTTTCTGACTTGCTTTTTTGGCAGATATGTGGAGTTGGCTGTTCTGTGACATCCCTGTGGTACCAAGGGCAAGGGCAACAACAGTTGGGCAGAAACTGTAGGCACATACGTGGGTCAGTAATCTTGGCTCACAGACCATTAAGGGTGGCATTCAGTGTGGGATGATGGCATCATATGGGACCATGGTGTTTATCAGCATTATTTCTTTGGAGTCTGTGTAATGGAATGTATTTGTCAAATATGTACTGATACTTGCATTTTCTGTAACAATTCCTTAATAAAATGAAGTAAAGTTGTACATTTAAAGTGGAAACTTTAATATTTGTAGTTACTTCTAATGCAGAAGTACCAATAAACATTTAAAATAATTTTAAAAACTTTTGATATGCAAATAACTTTATCCCCTAGTAAAGTTTGAATTCCTGCATTTTCCTGAAACAGACTGTCGACAGCAGTCAGAAAGTTGCTATCGTCCACATAGCAAGCAGCTGCCTGGACTTCCTGTGCTATGGGCCTAGACTTGAACTTATGGTGATGTACGGTGTATCACAGACTCAGTCTCAGCCATCTGACCCCTGTAAGTTCTCTGGACGAACTACTCAAGAGGACACACCCATGGTGAGCTTCTTGCTGGCTGGGCTCCAGAGGATGCTAAGGAAGGTTTTAGGGTTCACAAATTTAAAATCTATAGTGTTTCATAAAGCCCTTATAGAAACTGTAGCTCTAGAAGCTCACCTGGCCTTCAGAACACCTCTTTGTTTTTTAGGACAGGGCCTTACTGTGTAGTTCAGGCTGGCCTCAAATTTGGGGCACTCATCCTGCCTCTGCCTCCCACCCAAGTGCTAGAATTACACACACATGCCACCATGGCCAGACACAAAACACCTCTTGAACTAACAAAATCCCTTTACCCGTTTTCTATTTTGCCTGCCCCATAGTTCAGCCCAGCTGTGGACTAATACATCTTTTTCATATGGCTTCTCTCATAGTTAAAGGCACTATTAACTTCCATTAGCTACCCCAAGTACTGTAATTGTAATAGCCATCCTTGAAGCAAACAGTGCTAACCATCCCGTCACTGGTCATAATACAGGACAGTCAGCAACCAGGTGGAGGTGAGTGTCAGCTTTCACGTGTTTTTGCCCAGCCAGGAAACCATGCTGGGTTTTAATTCTGCCTTGTCATTTATTATTAGGCAAATTGCCTGCTTTCTGTGCCTTAGTTTCCCTATCTCTAGAATTGAGGTTACGTGTCTCTCTTAGCTCACTGGGTTGCTTGGAAGAGACCAGTGATCAGTAGTATGTCCTTCCTGTCTTCCAAATACACAAACCGCTGGACCTCTGGGGAGGGAGGGTTGATAGCAGCAGCACCCACTCAACAGAATCCAGGGGCCCTGGCAGAACAATGTACTTTCAAGGGTATGGGTCCAGCCCAGGGCCTTCATTCTCTGAGGGGCACAGCCCCAACCTGTCCATAGGGTTGAGCTTGCAGATGCCAGTTTCTAGACCAGAGCAAGGGGTGGGGTAAGGTTAGGCTGGCTCTCCACACTGTGCAGTTGTGCAGTGGCTAAGCCTGTGATCACATTCTTCAAACTTGGTTCTGAGTTTAAAGAAAACTGGAATGGCAAAATTATAAGGCAGATGTTGAGATTCCCAGCCTCTGCTCATTGGTGTGAATAAAAAAGGTCAGCTGTTGGTTGCTTCTGTTGCTGCTAATATGCTGTAATGGCTGCCTGTAATAAGAAATACGGTGGCTACAGAAATTCTACCTCTAGTAGGAGAAAGAGGTAGGGGATCTTTATGCCCCCTTCTGAACCATAAAATGGAAATGCAAATAAGGCTGGCAGAGACTAAATGAGAATAAAGTTCTTGCACAGGGCCTGCTTTGGCATAGTCACCCTACATATTTTCTTCTCCATTGCTGGCAAGTCTTGGGTGCTCTTCCTGCACTGAACTCTAGCTTGGAAATATGCAGGCGGTCCTGCACAGTTTTGCTTGGGTCACCTCTACTAGAGACAGAAGTGGCATTTCTCTAGCAATTACGAGCTTCTCGTGGCAGAGCCCTTTGGACTACTAAAATGACAATTCATACTTGCTGACTCGTGCTCTGACATAAGGAAAGCTTTTCTTAAAAACAAACCATAAAGTAAGCTATTGGCATAAAGAAGAAATGGGTTCTCCTTGAGTAAAGAACTGAGCAGGTGCCTGAGGCTTCCAGTCTGTCCTGGAACACAGATTCAGAGGTCTTGCTTTAGTGAGACGACAGGTAAACACCCACTAGGCACCGCCCAAGTCCACATATGGTTGGAAAGTCTGAATCCACCTTGTTTTGGAAGGGTCTGCACATCTCTGGACCTGACTCACACACTATTTCTGGGTTCCCACCAAAAGAATGCCCTCCTCAGTGATCTAACCGGGGATTTACTTCATACTATATGCCCAAGGTCAGGAACTTTACTTCCCCCATCCCCTGCCCTCAACACAAGGCTTGGCATGTGTGTGTGTGAATGTATGTCACTTAGAAATATGCATTGGAGAGAACCAGAGCAGTGATACCGACCCATTTTCAGTTAGCCTGTGAGGGCCACATCTAGTGAACAGAAGAGGGCTCAGACACTGAGTGGAGGGCTGTCAAACTAAGTGAACAAGGTCCTCCATTTAAGCTCTTCTGCTTTGTTTCTGCCCCGGGGAAAGCAGAGACATCCAGAAATGTGGAACAGTGGAAACAACGCTGTACCAGGAGTCAAGAATTTTCTGGGGCCAAGGATAGTAGTGCACACCTGTAATCCTAGCACTTGGGAGGCTGACACAGGAGGATCACTGAGTTTGAGGCCAGCCTGAGCTACATACTGAGTTCAAGATCAGCCTGAACTACATAGTGAAACCTTGTCTCAAAAAAATGAAACAAACAAACAACAACAAACATTTGCTGGTGTAATACTGCATGCCAGGAATTCCAGCTATTTGGGAGGTTTAGGCAGGGGGATCCCAAGTTCAAGGCCAACCTAAGGAACTTAGCAAGATCCACAGGTATAAAATCTTTCCATTTCCAGAATGAGCCTGTCTCATTTTATTATCACCACTCACAGTTTTGGCCAACTGTAATCAACTCACTGGCACTGGATAGGAACTCAAGTTTGCCTTAGGGTAGAGGTCTTAGAAAAAAAAAGTTGTAAAAGTCAGGTATCACAAGCTTAGTGGGGACTTGGGGACAAAGTTACCTTATGCTGTTAATATGCACAGCTTCTTGTGTCTTTCTCTGCTGAGAGATGCAGATCCTTTCTGCCACTGCTCCAGATACCCTGACAGGGCTGGGATTTTGGGCAGGGCTCAGACTAGCAGCTGGTCCAGGCCTAGGAAGGAAGCAGCTAGAGCTCAGAGACTTTTCCTCATTGCCTACTGATTTCTGAGAAGGTAGTATTTTTACCTATTAATACCTGAGGGTGCAGAAGGAAGATGTAAGTGGCCATAGGGGAACAATGTCAAAACAGGCTGGTGAGTACCTGGTAGGCTGCCCAGCTTTTGCCTCAGCAGAATGAGCAACCCATGGTGAGGTACATTTGCAGGGTGTGGCTAGAGTCCTGAAGTCTGTTTCATGCCAGGAGACACCCTATGGCACATGAGTATTAGGGCCTACAGAGTTCCATACAGGGTTCTGTATGTTACCAGTGCATAGGGCACCAACTTAGAGAGGGAAAGAACATGTGATAGCCAGAGGGGGGCAGCCTGGGTATTCTCCCAAGCTGGGGTCATCCAGGTCCCCACGATTTCTGTGTGTGGGGTGGTCCAGAGTCTGGTCACTTGGGGGGCCAGTTGTTCTCACACACACGCAGTGGGGCTCTTGGGACCCAGGCTTATACAGCTTCCTGGGGACGCCAATCCAGTCTCTGCTCACACCTCCACTGAGGACAGAAAAAGAGAGGACTTCTTAAAAGCATTAGTTCATGATTCTCTCTGGGGAAGAAAATGGTAGCAAGCCAAGCCTATGAAAAGGAGAAGCCATGCCACTTCCTGTCTCGGTGGTGGCCCAGACAGGCAGCATCCAGCCTGAACCTTGTTTTCTCCTGACTTCCTCCAGCTTCCCCACACAAAACCAATGTCACTGTCCCCAGGCTGGTGGCAGACTCAAAGTTTCTTTCATTGTGCTCTCCAGCCCTGCTCCCCAAATTAAGGCAAGGGAAATGGGTGAGGATACAGAAGCTGGGCCTCCAGAAAGCTTGTGGCTTTGACTGTATGCTCTTGTCCACACAGTGAATCAGCTTCCCTATAGGACAGAGGGGGTCTACACAGCACTTAGGGATGCGGTCCTTCTACCCTTCACAATGGCAGAGACATCCCTATTCCTCCTCAGTGAGAGCTGAACTCTTTCTGAGGCCCCCTGTGATGGTTAGTTGACATGTCAACTTGACCTAAGAACTGACTCAGTGAAGCCCTGAGTGCGCCTGCAGTTGACTGACACATCGGCTACAAACTGGGGAAGAACAGCCACATCTGGAGGGGCATCAGCCAGGCTTGCAGCTGGATGGAATGAAAAGAGAAAGAAAACCGTCTGCCCTTTGCTTCTTTGGAGAAGCTCCGGCCTTCGAAACTGCCTTTAGATGTTTGTCTCCAGTTCCTTCAGCCTTTGGGTCAGACCCTTCGGCTTTCCAACACTGACACATACAGGACTGCAGTGGGCTCCAGGCTTTCCACCTTCAACTGGCTTTTCTGGCTCTTTAGCACCCAGGTGACCATTCTGCACTGTCCCGCTCCTGATTCCACAAGCAGCCATTGTAAGCCTACCTAGTGAGTCCTTGCTATGATCATACACATATTTCATATTAAATCCATTTCTCTAGGGAATTCTAACTTATATCTCTCCTCTCCTTTTTTTTCCCTAGTACCAGAAATTGAACCCAGGCCTCACACAGGCTAGGCAAATACTCCAACTCTGAAGCTAGGAGGTTTGTATAGTTTCTGGGATTTTTGCCCCCTTATGAGAGCTAAAGGAGATTTGAGAGGCTCCAGTTGAAGTTTTAAGTCAGGCTGGCCTGATAAAGCAGGAAAAAAAAATCTTGTTAGTCTAGCTTATTTCACTTGGTGCTTACAGGAAGACTATTCCATGTAGCCTGCACCTCCTAGAATGTCAGAATGTGCAGTGCTTTTAAAATAGCACCTGCAGGCATCCTGCCATGGGCCCACCTCCTCATCCCTATCCCCTGCAGGCAGGCAGGATTTGTGCTGACAGAGACAGGAAACCCTGGCCCAGGGATTGCTGAACAAGCTGAAACAAACAGGAAATAGTACTTGTGCTTTCTCCTTCCCAGACCAGGAATCTTCCTTCAGCAGGGAAGAATGGGAGAGGGGGATGCCCAAATCTCAACCTTAGTGTTTTTATTTACTCTCTTGAGAGAAGTGATACCATAAGTAACTTCTAAATTCTCCCAGATCTAAAATGCAGCCAAAGGTGAGAGTCACCATCATAGAGCATAGATATTGTGAAAAACTTAGTAATTGATGGATTCCCTGAATAACGTAGACAGAATGGCCTGGAATTTTTGATTTGGGAGTCAGGTGGAAGGGAGTGAAGAGAAGCCTGCTTACCTCTTCTGGGAACACCAGAACCGGCTGCCCTTGGTGGCACTCCACTCAGCATTGCAGGGTGGGAACTTCTGCTTCTCTTGCTGGGCCTGTTTATTAGCCTCCAAGCCTTTGGCCATCACGGCTTCTACCCGGGTCAGCTCTGGGGTGGGCAGCCCATCTTCTCTGTAGAACCTTCCTATCACTCTTCCTGTGGGGACAGGAGACTGAGGTCAGAGTAACAGTGGGAGTGAGGTATGAACAGATGCTGAGCTCTGTGAGCAGCTGGAGTCAGGCTCAAATTCCCATAGGTTTGGACTTCAGGGCTCTCCAAACTGCCTGCTGTGTGCTCCCTTACTAAGAAATTATATTAGGGGGCATTTTCCGGTGTGTGAAGCTGGGGATGGAACTTCAGGCCAGGCACGTTAGTCAAGCACTGAAACACTGAGCTACGCCCTGGCTGTAGGAGAACTTTGGTGCCTTCTATCTAAGCCACTCAACATCTTAAATGACTGCAGGTAAGTTTCCCCATGAGTCCTTAGTACATAAATGATCAGATCTTCCTCACCTCCAGCCACTGTTTCTCTAAGGATGGAGCCATGTGTGTGATTCACTTTAGTGATGCTCTGCAGTGCTTGGGCATACATGAATATATGAATAAATGATGAATGGCTTTACTAGTTCTTCTTTTTAAAATAGCAGGGATCGAACTCAGGACCTTGCACTTGCAAGGCAAGCATGGTGCCACTAAGTTAAATCCCTGGCTCCTGGTTCATATTTTTTTGTGGCTCATTTTTTCCCAATGTCAAATTGTTTTGCCTTATATAAGTGTAAATAAGTCATTCCTTGAGCACTTACTCAGGATCAGGCACTATACCAACCAGCATTTTACTAACATTTTTAATCCTCCCAGCAGACCTATGAGAAAGAAATAACTTTTCATATTTGTAGGACAGAAACTTGGGAGAGTGAGTAACTGGGGAAGTCAATGAAGCTGGTAAGTGGTCTGGCTCTGTTAGGGTATAGATCTAGAATGTTCCCCGATTTTGGGGGTACCTTTGTACTCACTGGTGAGTTCACTGCTGTGCTGTTGCGAGGTGGGACCTGGTTGTAAGAGGCAGGTCCCTGGCTGGTGAACTGGAAGGGTATACGTATATGTTGCCCCCCACCCCACCACTTTCTGGCCTTCCTCTGCCAGCCCTTCCCACCATGCCTTTCTTTCGGCCTTGGAGCCAGCTAACCATAAACTGAAAATGTGAGTCAAAAAATAAATCTCTCTTCCTTTAAGCTGTGGGTGTGGAGTATTTTGTCTCTCTTCTGGCCCAGTCATTCAGTTTCACACACATAAGTAGAAACTTGTTTTCATTTAAAATGCCTGTCAAAATTTCTTAAAGTCTAAGCTGTGGAGGCAGTGGCCAAGTGGTCCACAGCCTATAGGCCAGCACCAAAGAAGGATCAGTTTTCCTGGGTGCAGGGACCTGACATCCCCAAGTCCCGAGGGCCCAATGGCCTTCACAGGCAGCACCTGTCACAGGGTGAGGGAAGCAATAGAAAGCTCTTCTGGGGGGAGGCTGGATGAAGTAGGAGGTAACATGTACACCTGCCCTCAACCATGTGGGTCCAACAGCTACCATTGGCAAGAACTGACTGGGATTCCAGTGATACATGTATTCAGCAAGTCGATGAAGCCATTCAAGCCCCTTCCCTGATGTCCCCAAATCTATGTCACATCTGTCCTCTGTTATCTGGACGAACCTTGGATCTCTGACTCCTCCTTCACATCCAAATATATACCTTCTGTGATTCATGCCTACCCATTAGAAAACCTTGTCAGTCCTATCTCTAAAATATATCCCAGTTCTGTTTACTCTTTTCCAATTCTACCGTTACCACCTAATCCAAACCAGGCTATATGGCACAAGCCTTCCAACCAGTCTGTTTCCAGTTAAGCTCTTCCTGTAGCTCTCTCTCCACAAAGCAGCTGAGTGCTCTTTTAAAACACGAGTCCTATGTCATTTCTGTGTGATCAAAACCCTCCCTCCAATAGTGCTGGGGATTTAGCTCAGTGGCACCTGCCTGACTCACAAGCGCAAGGTCCTGAGTTCAATCCCTGGTACAAAAAACAAAACAAAAACAAAGCAAAAACAAAAAAACCCCTCCAACATGTTGACGCAATGTGATTTCTGCCCAGTGCTCTGAATGTCAAAGTGAAAAAAACCCTCCAACAGCTTCTCAAAGCACATGGTTAAAATATACACTTTTTAAAAACTGTTTGGGCCAGGGATTTAGCTCAGTGGTTCGGTGGCCTGCCTCGCAAGTGCAAGGACCTGAGTTCGATCCCTGGTACCACAAAAAATAAATAAATAAAATAAAAATGTTTTGTGTTTTGGGGACAGGGTCTCATTAAGTAGTCCAGGCAGACTTTGAACTCACTGTGTAGCCAGGCTGGCCTCAAACTCTCTTTTGTCAAGTGCTGGGATTAAAGGTGCGTGCCAACATACCTAGATTTCTGTTGTTTTTTTGAGACAGACTATAAATTTCTTATCTGAGCTTCTGAGGTCCTATAACCATTTGCTTGTGGTACTGAGGATTGAACCCAGGACATTACTAGACAAGCACTCTACCACTGAGCTACATCCCTAGCCCTTTTTTATTTTGAGACAACGTCTCACTAAGTTACTGGGGCTGGCTTCAAACTTGCCATCCTCCTGCCTCAGCCTCCTCCTGCCTTAGCTGAGGTTACAGACATGGGCCACAGTGCCCCACTCATTTGACTTCTGTTTGTCTCTTCCTAAACTACTTCCTCTGCCATTTACAGTCAGCTCCAGCACATTTGTTTCCTCTCTATTCCTTGACCATGTTTCATGGCTCCCCACCTTAGGCACTACTGCTTAGCCTGGAATTCTCTTCCCAAGTAATATCACAGGCTGATCTGTAGCCCTATCTGGAGTTGTTTGATGTGCTTACTTGTTTATAATACGACTCTCCCCACCAGGCCAGCCCAGCACTCAGACGTCTTCTCCAGAGCATTCACTCCACCTGTTGGATGAAGAGTCCCAGGCCCTCAATTGTTGGTGGTACAGAACTTTCAGTTTTACAGGGGCTTCATATTATATAGTCACAAACTGTCTTGATGAGTTTTAGACATGAGACTGACTATAAGGACAGACAGGAGAAGAGGGGGTGGGGAGGAAGGGAGAGAAAGAGGGTGAGAGAGAGAGGAAGTGTATCATGAAAAGCGTGGTCACTACCTGGTTCTCTGAAGCCAGTTCTGTATCCAGAGCACAAATGTCGCCTCACTTTCCTTGAGGCCCAGTTACACAGCCCCACCATGGCTTCCTCACTACCTTCAATTCAGTCCGTGTCTTAACAATACACCTTCATCCCTGATATGCCAAGGGTTTCTGGTGACCAGAGAAAACCTCACTGTATCCTCATCCTAGAGTGGGCAGGAACTATATTCTCACCCGTGGCCCCCATGAGGACCACAACCACAATTTACCAAAAGTAGACATTCAAATCTATACTGAGTTTAACTGGAATCCTTCTCAGCCTCTTCCAACCATATGCTCCTCCACACACACACACACATTATGCATGTTCCAACAAGACTACTTCATTTGTCTTACCATATCAGGAACACTTGTATTAGCTCCCCAAATCTCAGCACAGCATTTGGTCTAAAATATTTTGCTCATTCTCCTTCTTTTATGTTGAGTTTGCAACTCAGCAATGTTGGCAACCTCATGGGAGAAAGGAAGAACCAGGCCTTTTAAAGTGCAAGTGGTCAGCTGGCCAGGGGTCAGTTCCTTCAACAGCAGATGTGGCTGTGGTCTCAGGAACAATGTGCAGCAGACCATGGGAAAATAAGGAAGTGTGTGTCACAGGTTGGGATGACAAAGCCCAATGATGATGAGGTGGGACTGGAAATGGAAAGGTATGAGCTTTAGATGTTATGAAAAAAGCCGTGGCCAAGTGGATATGGAAGGAACCAAGGAGTTAGTAAAAATACTACTGGTCTCAGAAAAAGATAAACCAAGCGGTAATGACAAAAGCAGATGTTTAGAGGCATCAGAAACAGAGAAAAACACTTCCAACTTAGACCTCTTAAAATGGTGAAGTGACACTGGCATTTCCCATAAGTTGGCCATATGTAAGTAGGGCTCCGGTGAGAGGTGAGTGATGCAGACAGATGGAAAGAGGGCTCTTAGGCATCTCAACTTAGTGCCATGTTTAGCATCTGCAACACTTCCTTAGGATGATGGAGGTATCTGTCCACTTAAGAGCCAAGTTCCCTCATGTATCACCAGTAAGTACCAAGTGCCACACACAGCTAGCTGCAGCAAGCATTTGATCAGCATGACTTCCACCTCAAGACACTGCTCATAGGACAAAATAAAAGAGAATTAGCCCCACATGGCGGTACATGCCTGTAATCCCAGCACACAGTGGGGCTGGGGCTGAGGCAGAAGAACTGCTACAAATTCGAGGCCAACCTGGGCTACACAGTAAGTTTAAGTTTAAGGCCAGTCTGAACTTCTCAGTATGACCCTATCTCAAAAAAATATATATATATTTTTTATATTTATATAAATAAAATAAAAGGGAATTACCAAAACTACATACAAGGGCTGAGGATTTAGTTTAGTGGTGCTGCTGCCTGCCTCGCAAGCACAAGGTCCTGAGTTTGATCCCTGGTACCAAAACAACAACAACAACAACAACAACAACAAACTACATACCAATTTAGGCTTCAAGCCTTCCTGGCTGTGTGCTGAAGCCAGATGCACAGAACACACTGAAACAAGACAGCTACGCTCTCAGGGCTAGCTGTTCAGGGATGGTGCAGGTGACCACTGGCTTTGGGCAACTGGGGCCAAGGCAAAGGGCTTGGCAATCCTCTCCCAAGATCGAGAGTGAGGGAAAGAGGTCCCATATCTTTTTCCTTGTGGGGCTCACTAACAGCCAGAATTTAAAATGAAAAATCCAGGGCTAATTTTCAAACTGGTTTTTTGGGGGAGAGGACGGGGGGTGTTTGTGGTGCTGGGGATCAAACCTAGGGACTCACATATGCTAAGCAAGCACTCCCCAGCCCTATTTTTCAGATTTTAACCTTGGGGGGCAATCCCTAAAGAATCCTGGCGCCTTGAAAGAAGTTGTTGGACAACCAAGTGAAATCTATGGAAATGACCTGTGGAATACCTACCAACACATGCGTAATTCTTCTCATAAAATGAAAGCCAGTTTTGAAGAGTCAGCATCTCAGAGGAGGACAAATCAGCTACATCATCTACCAGGCCTGCTTCAGAATAGTCTCCGGTCACAAATGCTCTGGATGCGTCTCGGCCTGCAGGAGAAAAGCTTATAATAGATTTAGTTGTACCAACTCAAGAATTTGTTTTCTAGCTGGGCATGGTGGTCCATGCCTGTAACCACAAGTACTCAGGAGGCTGAAGCAGTAGGATCACAAGTTTGAGGCCAGCATGGGAAACTTAGCAAGACCTTTGTCTCAAAATGAAAAAATAAAAAGGGTTAGGGATGTAGTTCAGCATCAGTAGTACAGTGCAAGGTCCTGGGTTCAATTCCCAGTATCAGAGAATTTTCTTTTTAATCTATTTTCTGAGAAATATCTCCTTCCAACCTTAGCCCCAGGGAAATGTAATCCTCTTCTCTGTGGCAGATGCTCCTGGACTTGTAACACACATCTCTGGCATTTGTCATATTCTTTCATCTTCTTTCAGCAACATTTAGCACAACTGACCAAATCCATGACAATACACTTCTGGTTTTCCTTCTCCTTCTATAGCTCCTCATCGTTTTTCTGCCTCAAGGATCAATTATTGTCCATACCCTCTCACTTGCCAATCTTATCCGCTCTTGAGGTTTCAAATCCCACCTTTGTGCTAAAGATCGCCAAAGCTGTAGTAGCTCAGACTTTTCCTGAGCACCAGATCTGTATGTCCAGTTGTCAGCGTCACTCAGTGGTCTCACAGCCATCATAACTTCAAACTGTCCACAATGAGTAATGGTCACCAGCAACCCTGCCCCAAGAACCCTGCATCTCCTCTAGTGTCCCTGTCTGTAAATGCCAACCAGTTGCTCAGGCTAGGAATGCAGCCTTGATGCCTTCTGTTTTCCTCACATTTAATCAGTGCCCAAGTTTTATATTTTCTTCCCCACTAGTTCCTATATTTGTCTGTCTCCACCAATCACCAAGCAAGCCCAGGCTACCATCATCTCATCTGACCTACCACAGCAGAACACTCATGGGTCTCCCTGCCTTCACTCTTACCTCACTCATCTATTCTCCATGGAGCACTTAAGACCCTTGCTTCCTTTTTTTTGCAGCATGGAGCTCAAATCCAGAGCCTTGCATATACATGCAAGGCAAGCACTCTCAAACTGAGCTACATCCCCAGCCTTAACCTGTTACTTTCATCATAAGTTCATCAGGTCATACCTCTGCCAAAAAGATACTCAGTGGCTTTCCTTTGCCTTAGGGCAATATCCTAATTTCTTAGTCACACAGTGCCTTGCACCAACTGCCACAAAACTCGTCTTGTCACATTCTTTTTTGTTCAATGAGCTCGTTCTCTCTCCTCTCCCACTAGTTTAGGGCATTTGGTAAAACTGGTACTTTTTCTTTTTAATATACCACAAAAATAATTCCTTAATTAATTGTAATTAATGGTATCTACTTAATGTCAGGATTTAATGTGTGACATCTATTTGTCTTTCCTATTTGCCTTTTTATTTTATTGTCTTATTTTGGATTTCTTTTTTTTGTTTTGAGACAAGGTCTCACTTATGTAGTTCAGACTGACAGTGAACTCACTGTGCAGCCCAGGCTGGCTTCAAACTTTGTAGAAATCTTCCTGCCTCATCCTCCCAAGTGCTGGGGTTTCAGGCTTGTACCACCATACCTAGCTGTTTTTTTGTTTTGTTTTGTTTTTTTCCAGCACTGGAGATTAAACCTAGGAGTACTCTACTATTGAGCTACATCTCACCAAGTTGCCCAGACAGGTTCAGACCTGAAGACCTACCCCAGCTTCCTCATTAACTATGATTACAAGTAGGATGCACTGTACCTGGCTAGTCTGTTAAGTTTTAGCAGGAAAGAGAAAACACTGAATTTATTTAATATTGATTCCCTAGTGTCTGATACAGTGCCTGATCTTTAATTCTCAACAGGTACTTCAGGAATGAAAACTATATATTTATAACCAATTGATTTTCAAGAAGGGTGCCAAGTCAATTCAGTGAAAGAAGTGTTTTTTCAACAAATGATACTGAGACAATGGAAGAGCCACATTCAAAGGAATGAATTTAGACCCCTATCTCATACCACATATAAAAATTAATTCAAAATAGACCTAAGACTTGAACATTTCAGCTAAAACTATAGAACACATATAAAACAGGAATACCAAGGCATGTTAGCACATGCCTATAATTCTAACACTCGAAGCTGAGGCAGGAGGATTGCCTTGAGTTCAAGGCCAGCCTGAACTATAATAGTGAGATTTTGTTTCCAAAGAAAAAAAGATATAAATCTTTATGATTTTGGCTGTACAAACAATCAAAGGGAAAAACATATAAACTGTACTTGATCAAAAAAAAGCAAGACCACAATGAAATACAACTTCAAACCAACTAAGATTAAAAAAAGAACTTAAAAAGTTTTGGTGAGGACGTGTGTGGAAAAATTGAAACTCTAATACACTCCTGATGGAAATATACAATGCACAGCCACTTTAGAAGACAGCTGGCAGTTTACTAAAAAGTTAAACAGAGTTACCATACTAAACAGCAGTTCCACGTTTAGGTGTATACCAATGATAACTAAAACCATATATTCACAAAAATCCTTATACACAAATATTTATAGCAGCATTATCTATAATGAGCAAAAAGTAGAAATAACCCTAAAGTCCATCAACTGAAATGTAGATAAATTCTGGTCTAACTATACAATGGAATAGAAATTAGCCATAAAAAGGAATGAAGTCCTGGGTATGGTGGTGCATGACTGTAATCCCAACACTGGAGAAGCTCAGGCTGGAGGGCTGCGAATTCAAGGCCAGCCTGGGGTATACAGTGAGACCCTATTTAAAAAAAAAAAAAAGGAATAAAATACAAATAATTATGGATGAGCCTTAAAACATTATGTGAAGAAAAAGATACCCCAGACAAAATATATATTATGCTATTTATATGAAATGCCCAGAACAGGCAAATGTCTAGAAGCAGAAAGTGTACTGGACTTGCTAAGGGCTAGGACTATCAGACATAGAGTCTGGAATTAGACAGTGGTGGTGTTTATGAAAATTTCTGGTTATATTTTTTAAAACCCACCATACTGTACACTTAAAAAGGGCACATTAGCCAGACATGGTGGCGCATGCCTATAATCCCAGTACCAGGAGGCTAAGGCATGTTGAATGCTGTTAAGTTCAAGGCTGGCCTGAACACAGCAAAACCCTGTCTCAAAAAAAAGAATTTTTTTTTTCTATGAACTGTTTTTCAATAAAAGTAGCTATGTATGGCAGCACACTCTTGTAAACCTGGCTACTGCTGAGGTAGGAGGATTAGGCCCTATTTCAAAATTTTAAAAAATTTAAAGCCTGGACATGTACATTATACCTCCATGAAGCCGTGTTTCAAAGAACGCAGCCTGTCAATTCATTTTTCCCTAAAGCCTAAATGGAAACCCACACAATTTCACAGAAACTGCAAATATCCTCTCCTCTGTAATTGCATTTTGGCGAGAGGTTTGCGTGTAGCAAACTGAGAGCGTTACTCAGTTCTCATTGCTGCTGATTGGTTGCTGCCCTGTAACCGATCTCCACCTCAGCATTCCCACAGGTAAAGTGTTATACTGTGTGTAGCTATCTCAAGTGTTCTCGATTTTGTTCTTCGTAAAGCCTTAAGGTCCCTAAGATGCTGTCAAAATGTGCTGCACCTCCTAAGGCTATATTAATGCAGTATTCTATTAAATTATGTAACTGCAGGAAACGTATTTAGGGATCAAACTATAAAAATAGGCATTTGTAGGCATTTTTCTGACCATATCTGAAATTCATGGTTTTTCAAAATTCACAGGTGCTCTAGGAACCTAACCCCTTATGAATTTCAGGGGTCCACTGTATTTCAATGTTAGAGCTCTTGCCTAGCATGCACAAGACCCTAATACCACACACAAAAAATTAAAAATATTGACTGAATGAACAAATGAATGAACACACCTAGACACATTTCTTACTCTTCAGCAGTTGGCACAAGGTAGGACACATGGTAGTGCTCAATAAACAGATTGTTTAATGAACATCTGGCACACAGGAATTCAGTAGACAGGAGGGCACATTGCTGGTATCATCCCATAAATGTAAGATTTTATGCCCACATTTGTGCCTACATCCATACGGCTGTCCTGCCATCCAGCATGTGGCAAACAGTACCAAAAAATGCTCTCAACTGGTAGGTACATAAAAACCTTGGTATGAGCACAGCTACTTTGGTTGAAGGAGGGTGGCCACACCTCATTTGAATTCCTCCTAGCTTCCATTCTCAAGTTCTAAGGTAATTTATTAGGCTATGACCAGAAGGGAATTTTACCAACTATGAGGTCCAGTGCAAATAGCCAGCTACTTTATGCAACAGATATTAAGTACAAGCCATCAATTTACTACAAAATGAAGCTCAGGTCTTTTTAAGTAATATACCATATTAGAATTTTATAATTAGTAAAGGTTTAGGTTAGGCTTAAGAAGCCATTACAGGAATGAACACTCAATTATTCTTAAATTTTATTGTGAAATACAATTGCAAAAGTCCATACATATTAAATCTAATATTTATTAATTGTCCATAAGACTAACTGTTAAAAAATAAAGCTATATCAGTGTTGCAAGAATTTAAATTCAGTATTCTTACAGAAGACTGAGCAATGGTTTGGTTCTAATTTGAGTTACTGAATGTGAACACCAGTAAGACATGATGCCCCAAGATATTTATTTCTTGTTTCAGAAAACTACAATCACACTGAGGGAAATTTGAGAAATATGCTTAACTTTTCAAACCTTTTCAAAGCAAACTTTTAAGCACAATGGTTGAGTAGTAAACCTTCTTTCCCTAGCACCAAAAAAGAAGAAACTGCTTGAATATGATCTGAAAGAAGCATTGAAAAATATTTTCTAGATATTCTATCTGTACAATTCAAAAGGACGGTTCACAGAGGCAATGATACAATTAGTGATGAATAGTTGAAAAAAATTTTTATTTTAATCCTGCCTCATTACTCTTTACTGTTTGCATATTAAGTAATCTATACTACCTGGGGGGGGGATGACTCATGAAATAAAAACTAATGAAGTTCTAAAAAACAAAACAAAACGAAAAACCTTGGTCCCAGTCCCAGTGGTGCTTTTTACTTACTGTAGCCCTGGTTTAGTCCCTTCCCCAGCTGGACAGTTTAAGTAGCTTGGAGAGAAGGAAGTGACTTGTGTTTTAAATGCCAGAGGCAGCTTCCGAATTATTCCCTTAGAAGAATGTAAAGTGGAAGATGCTTATTTATTATGTGCCTAGTCATTTAGGCCTTCTGCACACCTTTTCCCTCCAACACGTTTTGTATTCATCTGGTTCTCACTGGTAAGGCTGGTGGTTCTGATCCTGTCAGTGCTTAGTCGTCAAAACTTTAGACAAATCATATTTTTTAATTTCCTCAGGAATAAAATGGGAACAGTAGAAAAAAAAATTAAAATTGAGGCCACGTCTTTTCGTCTGTTTTTTGTTTGTTTGCTTGTTTTGCCTTTTTGAGATGTCTCGCTATGCTGCCCAGGCTGGTCGAGAACTTCTAGTCTGGTCTTGAACTCCTGCAGCTGAGTTGCGGGGCGCCTAGGATAGGCCACTGTGATTCTAAGTATTAAAGGGCTGTAAAGGTGACTGGACCCATTTACTGAGCTATAACTTTATACTATTTCATCCCTCCCAGGACCAGGGATCGAACTCAGGACTTTGGGCTTGTGAGGCAGGCGAAGAGCCACTGAGCTAAGTACCCGGCCCTATACTCTTTTTTTGAAAGGCGCACAAGTACCTTTGTACTGAAAATGAGAACACACAAACCAAATACCTTACCTTTTTGGAAAAAACCTGGGATGGCAGGAAGAGTATTTTGGGTCGAGACATACAGAGGTGCCTGAAATTAGAACTGTGAGGGTAGGGAACTGTGAGCCATGAAGGCCCTGCATTAAGTCTTGCACAAAGCCTCCTCAGGCTCCCAACTTTGGGTAATGGGTAACAAGACACAAGACATGTTTCCCAAGCAGAGGTAACGCGTAGCGGTAGCCAGGGAGGTAGGAGTGGAAAACAGCTGGCCATAGTCCCGCCCAGCCAGAGACCATAAGGATGCGCAATCGAGTCCAGTCCGCCCCGGGAGTAGGACAAACGTGGTGGTCTGGGGAAACAGATGAATAAATGAAATAAAGAACGAGGCGCAGGTGGCTACAGACCCGCGCAGGAGGAAAAGGCCTGAGCGGCCTAATACCTGCGAAGCCGCTATAGTGGGCTCCAGGTTCGTAGTGCCTCCGGCCAGAGGACACGTCGTAGACACGGCCCAGCAATGCCAAGTAGAGGCCCGGGTCCCCTGGGCCGCCGCGGTAGCGGGACAGCTCCTCGGGTATGAAAAGGCGAAAGCCCGCTGAAGAACACCAGCCCAGCAGCCACGATGTTATCATGGCCACGACCCCTACGGCCAGGCTCAGCAAGAGTCCACGCCCGCAGGGTCTCCGCCTTAAGACAGCCGCACCCATGCCACACTTCCAAAGTTGCCGCCTCGCTGCCCATGATTAAGATGGCGGGGGCGCCGACCGTGACGTCATCGAAGTGACACGCTCAAAATCTTTGGCGAAAAGCTCATTTCTTGGCTCTGATTCTTTCGCATACTTTTCGGCATTGCTTGTGAACGTGGAGGAATGCCGAATAAGCGGAGCAACGGTGAAAGACCTTCTCTTACAGTTTATCCGCCCCCAACAAAAATGGCGGCAAGGCAGTCTGCAGGATGACGCACACGTCATGACAGACGCTCTCTCTGGAAAATCAAGAGTTCCACCCTTTGCTGCGGTAGTCCTCCAGTAGGTGTCGTAAGCTGGTGGAGTACGCTTGACGGCGCCATTGCGATAGCATTTCTCGCTTGACGGCCAGGAAAGCGGAAGTCGCTCCTGCCGCCGTCTTCTCCTCCCTGTCCCCGCCCGCTGGGTGCTGTCGGAGGTTGACAGGTCGAGGCTGGAAGGCTGCGGCGGCGGCGGTAGAGCCCTGCACCCAAGACGGAGGCCCCATGGGGAATGCTCCGAGTAACAGTAGTGAAGACGAAGCGGCAGCCGCTGGGGGCGAAGGCTGGAGCCAGCACCAGGCCTGGGCGGCCGACTCGGGAACGACCCCCGGCTCGGGCC